GAATTTAAAAGGGCAAAACCATAAATAGCTTAAAAGTGTTACAGTAGTAACTAATATACAGGAATACTTGATAAACCGTTTGCAAGCCATATTAGTAGTCCTTTTAAAAAAAAAATAAAGACAAATCTATTTAATTTCTTCTTTACAATAATCTGATCTATGTTTCTAACTTTGTAACATGCGTCCATCTGTGGTTCAGTTTTTGACGTCGTACCCCGACCAGTTTTGACCAGGGAGATTCTCTCTGGTCTTCAACCATATTTGCTGGGACGCTAAGGAATGAGCTGTTGAGCTGATGGGGTTTTATGGCTTATGAGGGGGAGTTGGTCGTCTACCAGTCAGAAGGTTAGTAGATCGGCTACGCCAGTCTGCATGTTGAAATATCCTTGAGCAAGCTACTGAACCATGAATTCTGCGATGCATCTGTCGGAGTGGCCAAAATGCCAAAAAATTTAAAAAAATATCGTCTTTAAAAATAACACTTACAAACAAAACAATAGAGCAAGAAATATTACGGACCAGATGACCGTAAAGCTTTTAAACAAACCCTAACATTATAAAAATATTAACTGACTTGACTTACTTAAAAATGTAAACGTGCAAAGTAATAACATGTCACGTGTCTTACCCTGTTAGTCTGGATTTTGTTGACTTCTTACAGTTCAGCTTTTTTTGGCAAACTTAGACTATAATAGTAGCCAATTGGCTGACCAAAGTAGCAAAAAAGACCAAAATCGTAGGGAAAAATGTAAAGGGTTTTTTTGTAGTGGTGGTGACTGTTTCAGCAAGTTCTTGCTGCACATTTAGCAACAGCAGCTGCTGGCTACTGCAGTCCTCTAGTGACAGCTTTGTTTGCAGGCACCAGTTGTTGCTGAGGGGAAAGGATGCACATACTCCCACTCACATTTTCAAAGATAGTCTGGGGATTTGAATGAGCGATCCTCTTTTCACAATCTAACCAGCTGATCCTGCCTTGCATTTGCATTCAGTAGAGATCTGTACTCATAATATTCAGCAATTTCAAATCTCTCTTTATAAAGGCAGTGCTTTTTTCTGTTTGGATAGTAAGTGAATGTGCTAGGTCATACCTGTCCCAAAGCTTTCCTCCCCACAGACGGAACAACGCCCAGAATCCATCAGGTTCCCGAAGTATCTCCAGCCTGTGGGAGTCTCATACAAGGCCAGTTTCATTGCTTTGGCAACCCTACAAACACGCAGAGGAGAAAAGTCAGAAAAACTGCCTGTACACGCGATGTATTTGCTCACATACACACAATATATTCATCTAATATCTAATAAAATCTAACATCTAACATCCCAGGTCTGATATAGAAACTAGCTTACACACAAAAACTCTGACCTTTGAAATAAAACAAACCAAATCCTGTATGACAAGCGCAATCTGCCAGCAGCTCATCCAATAACTTAATAAGGCAAAGGGAGCAGGAACGAAGTGAGTTAACCTTTTAGTTCATGTTTACTTAGAACCTCAGCCGTGTGCTAGCATAGCAAGAGGAGAAGATGGAGTGCGTGTGTGCGTGAGTGTGTCTGTGTGTGTGAATACATGTGTATGTTGGGGTCACGTGGAGGGGAAAAAAGATGCCAGGAGTTCAATATGTGGGAGGAAAGGGAGTGCAAAGAGCCAAAGTGGAAAAGAGCAAAGAGAAAGTCTAATAAAACTTCCCAGTTGCAGATTACAAAATAGAGAGTAACTAATTGATTTACTGGAACTGCAGTGATGCGATAAGAAGAAAAATGCACACTTTATGGTAAATGGATCAGTACTTATACACTGCTTTTCTACTCAGTTTGAGCACCCAAAGCACTTTCTGCTAGACATTCATACAGCACTTTAAACTCATGGTTCGGCATCTTACCAGAGGATGCGTTACCACTCAGACTGGGGGGAGGGCGGGGATCGACACACTGACGCTGACTTTTGATTGGTACTTGAGCCTTGAGCTTTCATTCGACCATTTCAGCAACTTTTGGTTTTACGGCCAACAAATGTTTTTGTTTGTTAGCAGGATTAAGACAATTTAATATTTGCGTTCTTGCTTACAGCTTGATATAACTATCGCTTGAAGAAAAGGTTCGGTCTTTGATCCTATATTAGAAAAGTTACCAGCTCAAGCCTTAGTTTAGTTTTAGTTTTAATGTTTAGTTTGCAACAAACATCTCCACGGCAATCATTGCATAATATACAAACAATTTACAGGAGAAGTCTAAAAACTGAAGAACCAAATATTTCAACCAACAAAACAGATTTTGCAGCCAAGGGAACAAATACATGGATACCAGCATCTCAAATGCTCGTACTGTGGGATGTGGTGAGAGTTCATGGTGCAATACTATAAATGTGAATATGGGTGAGTTTCAAAATTTTTAAGTGGTTTTATACATATACACATTGCATAAAACCCCCAGTGCCCTCCACAGCTGTTTACAAGAGGATGGGATAAATGACCAAATAAGAGTAAACCAGCTTTATTCCCCCACCCTGGGGAAGAAAGTGCTGGAATGGAAAGCCTGGCATTCCTAAAAGAAAACAGGAACTCTGAACTTCTGACGAGCATTTGATGTTTTGAACGGCACGTCCACGGCCAACATAAGCACTGACACTGACTGTAGCAGTGCTCGGCTTTCATGCAACGTTGCAAAAATGTAGCGTCCAAACAGTGTGAGAATAAAGCAAATCGTGCTTTCTCAAGTTTGATGATTGCACCAACAGAGCTTTGCACACACACCCATGCATAGCATTCACATCCATACATCCTCAGGGATAAAGCACAAACAAGAACAGGTTTTAAGATCAAAACGTATTAATTTCCAGTTCCACTAAAAAAAAAAAAACTTCTTGAACACACAGTGCTAGAATGACTGTACAAGTGCATTTAAACAGATAGAATAAAATGTCTCAGGATTACCAGGATGTTGGATTCTTTTGACGAGATTTAAAAAAACAAAAACAAAAACCTGGCAGATTAATACGTCTGGAGACACAAGGAATGAAATTGGAAGGCCTATTTAGAGCTGCAATCCCCTCGTGTGTAGGTGTGAGCCGTAAACTGTAATGCTCTCCAGTCAAAGTTCATTTTCTCACACTAGTGTTGACAATTTACAGGCAAGGAATCTAAAGTCGGTCACATAATATACAGTATTTTTAAATGGTTAGTATCAATCAATTATTAGCTATATTATCCTTCCCTGTGAATACCTTCTTTAGGTTATTAAGGAAGTTCTATTTTTGGATGTTGATTACTTTGATGTTTTTCTGTCTTTTACTTACATTTAATCTTCTAATATACATGAAGTGATGAGCAAGTCCAGCCTTGCATGTATGAACAAAGCTAAATAACTTCATTCTAGGATGTGACAACACTGAGCTGCAGTTGGGGAAAGTTAGAGCAGGTCTGTCTTGAATGGTTTGGAAGCTCTGCTCCGACAAGATTAGAGCTGGAAAGAAATTTCATAACTGAGCAGCTAGGAGGTATGTCCACTTTCCTTCATCTCAACTCTCTGGAACCTCTGTTGCACACACGCTTACAATATGACCCACACTAAGTAACCTTTATCTTGCACCTCAGTAAATCCCAGCGGAGGGGGAAGGTACAATGAGTGAAGATGTTTCTCTACATCCGTGAAGTAAAATAAGGCCAGCTTTGTGCTTTGGCTTGACATTTTACCAAACATAGCCTTCAGCACCCTCACGCCTCAGTCTGGATTTAGGGCTCAGGCTAAAAGAGCAGCAATGCCGGAGCATTACTTGAGCTTGACCCGAACCAATAACCCTTAGTAGTCAAAGCAGAAATGCAATGTTAATTGCTGATAATGCTGCCACGGAATTCAACGCTGAACTTCTTTTTCTTCTTCTTTACGCTGCTCTCTTCAGGGGGCACCACAGCAGATCATTTGCTTCCATATCCCTATCCCTAGCAATCACACATTCTTCTCTGTGATCTTATTCTTCTCCTCCTGTCGACATCCTTTGTCCATTGCATTTACTGTCCATCTTCTGAGATCTTCAAACCATCTCAACTTTGGCTCTGTTACTTTGTCTCCAAATCGCTTAATCTGAGCTGTCTTTCTGATCTACTCATTTCTAATCCTATCCATTCATCCTGGTCACTCCCAACAAAAATCTAAGAATCTTCAGCTCTGCCACCTCCAACTGTGCCTCCTGTTTTTGCCAGCACTACCATCTCCACACCATATATCATATATATATATATATTTATAACCATCTTGCAAACCTTCCCTTTCACTCTTACTACTACTATCAGTCATAAATCCCCCCTGACACTCAGTACATACTGTATATTCACCTTTCCATCCTCCTCTGTCTCACTTGTACACAGATTCTGTTGCTTTCATTCCTCCACCTCCACCCCTCCAGTCCCTCCTCCACCTTCAACCTACTCTTACTGCAAGTCACAATGTTATCTGTGAACATCATAGTCCACAGGAATCCTTCTCTGTCAACCTGTCCATAATCACTGGAAACAAGACGGGATCTTGAGTCACTCCCTGATGTAATCCCACCCCGACCTTGAAGCCATCTGTCTCTCCCTACCTTCCTGTCTTGGCATTTTATTCCATGATTTTTCTATTAGTTCTTTACAAGTCAGAGCTGAACATACTTTAAAACAGTTTTCTAGGATTTTGCAAAGCTGTGTCAAGAATATATTTGCTATCGATCATAGTAAATCAGGCGATAAATGTGCTTGTTAGAGCAATGTTTATCTTTGCCTGCCTAGTTCTGTGTTCTTGATGCTGCTCTCCCTGCCTGACCTGATTTAAGTGGCCTTGTATGGCGTTACCCGGCACAGCGTCGAGGTCAATCGCTCCTAATGTTCTCTGTCAAAGTAAATATAAAAGGTACTGTGTAAAGGTTTTAATCACTTTAGATTCCTATTCATCATGCAATACCACTAGAGAGAATTAGTGGCTTGGTTTAATTACTAATTCTTTCCTCAACATAAAAACAATGCAGATGACCACAACGCCAACGGTCATTAACAGCTTTCTGTAACTGTTTAGCTACAGCACAACATCAAATATTTGACCTTTCCACTTTGCCGTGCTAATCAGTAAAAGAGCTCACATTTCATGATCGTAACACGCACACCAGTGGCTCAACCCTACATCCTTCCATCCCTGGAACTGTGAAAAGAGAGGCAGATGTTTCCTTTACCAACATTTCCCACCCACTTTCCCTTCCTCCCTCACCGCGTCTTGCGTAGCATGTGCACAGAGACATAAAATCACCCACGCACACACTCCAACCAAAGTGATAGATTTAAATCCAGCCTCCTGTCCACCTGAATCCAGTCAGTTTCCTTTGCTTATCTGAAAACAGTTGCATTCACTTTCTCTCTGTCTCTTCTGTTAACACACACTAACATACACATCAGCGCACAGAGTATATACACCATCGCATTTATCAAAGTTTTTATAACACAGTTTGCTTGACTTTAAACACATAGCAGGGAGGGAACCTCAGTCTAAACACTCAGAACACAGATACACACGGTCTCCTAAAACAGCCCACACTTGGACAGACTCCAGGGTCCGACTTCAAAACTGCTAAGCACTTCAACACTTTCTCGAGTTTATCAGGTTCATGCCGTTATATACATAACATGAGTGTGACATGACGAACTCGTGTCACGCTCATACGAGTTGTGAAACTAAGAGTGGAACAAAGTGACACTGGTCAGCAGCAGTGTTATTAATTACCAGTTAAGTGATCACAGATTTGCAGATGTAGTCAGACTAATCAAGTGAAATCATGTTAAACGTGAAAAAATCTAAAGCCTGTGTTATGCAGTTTATTATGCATGATATTATCAGTGGGTTAAGTATTATCTATAAGGTTGCTTCTACTTCCCAACTAAATTAAAGTTTCCAGTAGATAAATGCATACTATCATCAATACAAAAGGGCAAGTGCTCAGAAAGTAGACAACGAGAGATAAAGACAATATTAGAAGAAGAACTGAAAAGCGTGTGTTGGAGGCATTGCTTCGCGCTTCAGGGTTGCAGTGGGACATGTGACATTTGGGTCTTGGGTATCAGCCTGTGTGTTTGTGTGTGTGTTTGTTTGTGTGCATGTGTGTGATGAGGCCAAGCTGACTGGGGAGCCAGTGTACGCAAACCTTTCAAGCAACTCATTCAGAGTGATTATTAGGGCTCAACATCATAAGACATGGCCTTAGGCAAGGAGTAGTGCAATATCAAGGGATACAGTCTGTGTGTGTGTTTGTCTGCCTTACTGTGCAACAGCACCATGTAAATAAAGTAAATAATTATTTGATCCCCTGCTAAATTTGTAAGTTTGCTCGCAAAAAGTTATCCTTCTCTAATTTTTATTGTAGTTTCTTTTTAATGGAGAGTGACAGGATATCAACCAAAGATCCAGAAAAGAATGCAGTACATAACAGTTATAAATTGATTTAAATGTCATTGAGTGAAAAAAGTGTTATCCAAAAGTAAAAATGACTTAGTACTCAGTGAAGAAACCTTTGATCACCAGATTTATTTGCTGCTGCTTAGCAACTCACAAGTTTAGCTCCCTCCACTCATTTTCTATAAGGTTGAGGTCTGGGGACTAGCATCTAAGCCCCTCCATGACCTTAATGTGCTTTTTCTTTAGCCACTCATTTGCTGCTACGGCGTTATGTTTTGGGTTATTGTCATATTGGAAGACAGATTCATGACCCATCTTCGGTATTCTGGATGAGGAAAGGATCAGATAATTTCTTTGTAAATTATCAAACTTACACATTCAGGAGGGGGATCACAAAATTGTTTCTCTTACTGCCTCTAAGCATCTCTCACAACTGTGAAACCCAGATGGATCAGGGTTGGTAATAGCATCACTTCATGTGACTTTCAGCAGTTACACACAGTAAAGGATTAGTTCTTTCACACACATAAAGACACACATGGATAACTGAAATAAATTTGACGGATGCTGTTTAGATTTTAAATCACACATGGTGGTTTAAGTGTGACACATCACTGCCCACCACAGGCCTCTCTTCATCAAGTACCCTTTTAGGAAGGAGTCTTTTGAGCTAAGAGTAACTTCATCGGGATAATGTAAAATATTGAAAATAGTGATTTACTTTCTTAATCTCGTCCAAATGCTTTTGGAAGTCCATTACCTCACTTTAGTGCATCTTTAATGTGTCTAGTTCATGGACACAAATAAATATGCACCTATATGCTTCTTCTGGTAGTTGAAAACAGACGGGTCAGATTAAATAAATATAGGTAGGGGTCAAAAGGAGGTTGTGTTGAAAGTTACTAAAAGGGAGGATGAAATCTTTGCACTTCTATAAGGTCTATTATTTATAAAATATTAAATCAGGATGTTAAATGTTTTAATGTAGTTAGGTAGCACATTTTAAACAGCTAAACTTCCATCCATATGCATAGTCTTTAGCAACTATAGTAGATTCATCATTCATCAAACGGCTCCCTTGAGCAGCAATCTGCAGAAGCGTCAGCGAGGTGCTGTGCCGGGATCTCTCCTGCTGGAACAATGTTAATGGAGATGACTTTGGCGGTGATCACGTCCTCTCACTCAGCACCCTCTGCTTAGCTTTGCTCTTACATAACACACAGTATTTATAGGGGGGTGAGTAAGTGTGTGTTTGGTGTGTGTGTGTGAGTGTGTTGGGGGGGGTGATCTCACAGCTTTATTCATAGTGGGTGTCGTCCCTCTCCAGAGACTGGGCTGATGCAGGAGTTTGTAGGAAGAGTGTGGGTGGTGTTATAGAACTTCTTAGATCTACTGATTGTGTGTGTGTGTGTGTGTGTGTGTGTGTGTGTGTGTGT